AGCACAACCCATGAAAGAAAAATCATCTGGGCTTTATCCCAACGATCTGCCCTTCGTAACTTCTCTTTAGTCGAACGCCTTTTCCTGTCTAACTTCACTTCTGCAAGTTGAGTTTGGAGTGTTGTGCTGGCGCTGCTGACGCTTCACTGGATAGATGGTTTGCAAATAGTTCGTCTACGTTTAGCATTGAAATCAATGAAATCAGTAGCACTTACGTTCTTCGAAGAAGGCTCTAGTGTTTCCCCCAGGGGTAGAACTGCTCCATCTTCCTCTACTGAAAAGTCTCTTTCCCTCTTCAGAGTGCCTTTGCACCTGTCAGGAACCGCGGGCACCTTGGCGAGGTCTGTCTCTGGCTTCCCCATCTTGCTCCCTGAGTCTGCGCTGCCCCCTCCCCCAACACCACTGTCTCCATTACTGTAGCTCTGCGACAACTCTGGAAGTTGGCTGGGAGATTACTCCCACTATCATAAGTGACTACTCCCATTGTATCTTCTCTTTAGTCAATGCTGAGATTATTTGCCTTTCTAGATAAGTATTAAGCACAATCTGTCTATGCCAAAAAACCAAAACAAAACAAAACCTTCCAGGAATCTTTGTTAAGAATGGTGTGAAACTTGTAACGGGTTTGGGAAGACCAGGCCTCTGCACTATTTGGATTTCTCAGTCTGCAAACGTATACCATCGATGTAGATTTTTTTTCAAGGATGTTTTGTAGTTTTCATCATGTAAATCCTGCACATCCTTTATTGGATTTGCATCTAAAGTTTGCATTTTGAGGGGGAGGATTTGTAAATGGTACTATATTTTTAAATTTTGGTGCTCACACTTTTGTTGCTGATAAACAGAAATGCAATGTTTTTTGGTCCTGGGAATCCAACTCAGGACCTTGCGCTTGCCAGGCATGCACGGTGCCCCAAGCTATATATCTGGCCCTACAGTTGATTTCTGTCTGTTCACCTAGTGTCCGGGGTCCTCTGAACTCACAGAGTTCTAGAAGTCCTTTTGCGAATTCCTTGGGATTTTCTATGTCAGTTCTCGGGTCCTGGGCACACAGGGAAAGTATCCTTTCTGCTTTCACCTCTGACGCCCTTTGAGAGTCTCTCTCCTTGTCTTCTGGCTAGACCTTCCCGCACTCTGGAGTAGAGTGGCGAGCACAGATGTCTGGCCTTGTGTCCAACATCATCTGCTTTTTACTTTTTTTTAATTTTAAAAAATCATTAGTTATTAATTTATTTGGTACAATAAGTTATTGTATAATTCATTTGATATACGTAGCTTGGACTCCTAGTGATCTTCCTGTCTCAGCCTCCACAGAGGTGGGATTACAGGCATGTGCCACCCACCACACCTGGTTTCAGTGGCCGGCATGCGGTATTGTGGCTCGAACCCAGGTCCTTGCGCTCGCCAGGCACGTGCTTAGACTGCCAAGCTATCCCCCCAGCCGTGCTTCTTATTCTTCAAGGGTTATATTTTTTAGAGCAAGATTAGGTTAGCAGCAGTACTGAAGAGAAGGTACCAAGAGTTCTCATCCCCAGCCTTTTCCCCAGAGCCAAAACCGTCCACCTGACCTGCAATCAGGGAATTCACACTGACACAGCCATGTCACCTGGAGCCCACAGATCACATTAGGGGCCGCTTTTGGTCCTGCGCGTTCTATGGGTTTGGACATGGGTCCGGAGTCATGGACCCACAAGTGCACTGGCACACAGAATGGGTTCCTGGTCCTACGCATGCTCTGTGCTCTGCCTAAGCAACCCTCCCTTTCTCTACCTCCTGGCAGACGCTGGATCGCTGCCCTAGCGTTGTCTTGTCCTCGTGTCTAGAATTGAAATTACACTGCACAAAGCCTTTTCAGATTGGCTTCTCTCACGTGGTCACATGCATTTGAGGGGTCCTGGAGTCTTTTCCTGGCTCACGAGTTCATCTCTTTTTCACAGCAATGTCTCTCTGTCGGGATGTAGTGTAGCCATCGACCAACCGCAGTGCATCTCGGTTGCTTCCAAGCTCTGGCGATTACGAATAAAGCTGTCCTGCGCGTCTGAGTGCAGGCTCTGGCGTGGACAGAGGTTGTCAACTCCCTTGAAGAAGCACCCAGGAGCGCTAATGGTTGGTTTGTATGGTAAGAGTGGCTCAGCCCAGCTGTCTTCCCCAAGTGGCTGCACCGCGAGTTTCTGTCACTCCAGCTTTCCCATGGTGTCCCGCGGTGTGGTTTTCTGGATACAAACCATTCTCGCCCCCCGTGGCAGGAGTGGCTCACTGTTTAAACCACATTTCTCAGAAGGCTTGGGAAGCAAGCACCTTCTGTGTAGCTGTGGTCTCCCCATCTTTCTGCACAGAGGTGTCTTTGGCCCATTTTTTAAATCGGGTTGCTCATTTCCTTGTTGTTTTGTTTGGAAAGATCATCTGTTTCACATCCTAGTCCTTTGTCACGATGGGGTGTTTTGCAAACCACCTCTCCCATTCTGTAGCTTGTCTTTTTACAGAGCAGAAATTTTAAATTTTAATGAAGACCCGCTTATCAATTTCTCCTTTCATGGCTTGCGCCTTTGATGTATTTAAAAACTCATCATTAAACCAAGGTCGTCCAGGTTTCTTTCCTGCCATCTTCTAGCAGTTTTAGAGGTCTGCATTTTACATCTTGTCCTGCGATCTGCTCTGAGCTGCTGCTGTAGAAAGGTTGCAAGGAGGGGCCGGCCAGACAGCTCAGCGGACTAAAGCGCCTGCTTAGGCAGACGCAGGAGCTGAGGGCTCGATCCCCTGCATGCCGAGCCAGCCCCGCCCCCGGGGCACGCTGAGCGGTGACTGAGACTGGGCGTGGTGGTGTGCACCTTAATCCCAGCGCTTGGGACGCTGAAAACAGGAGGATCACTATGATTCTGATCTGTATAGTAAGACCCTGTAGACCCTGTACTAACTACATTAAAAAAAAAGAAAAGAAAAGAAAGGCTGTGAGGCCTGTGGCCGATTCCTTTTTTCCCTTTTGCATGTGGCTGTCCAGTTGTTCAGCACCATTTGTCTCCAGGGCTATTTTTTCCCCATCGTGCTGCCCTTGCCCCTCGGTGGAGGACCAGCCGACTATATTTATGTGGCTCTATTCTGGGAGTGCTGTTCTATTCTCTTCTGTTCTATTGATGCGCCGCTTCTTTGCCAACGCCACACTGACTTGTGTAATCTGCTTTTAAGCCCACTTATTGAGGCTTGCGCTTTGGTTATTCTTTTTTTCTAATTGCTTCTTTTAAAATTTCCTGTATCTCTTTAATAGTTTACAGACATTCTTTTATTTCTGAGCATGGGAAGTACAATTGTTGAAAGGCTTGTGGTTTTCGACGAGCCCCTCCGCCGGAGCCCCTGCAGAGCTGCCCCGTCTGTGTCGCCCCCACCCGTCTGCTGCTCCTCTGTCACCGACGCCTTGCCGCCAGCTCTCTTCAGCTGTGTGTGGACACAGTGTGCTGGATCCATGGGAGAGTCACCCCCTGAGGTCTGGGGGGACAAGGTCTCTTTGAGGAAGGAAGCATTTGCTGCTGTCACTTGCCAGGGTGTGGGGGGTACTGAGTGCAGCCCAGGAATTAGGGGCCTCTCGAGCCCCAAAGACAGACTCAGCTGGGAGGGCTGGTGTACCTCTACTTTTGTAGTACAGGAATCAGAGCAGGGGATAGTGAGGAGCTGCGGCAGGTCCCCCATGAGGGAGAGCGGGGTGTCCCAAGCCATGCAGCCCTCCTATGCCCAAGCCTGCAACGTGGAGGCCAGTCCTTTGTCCTCTCTCTCCCTGCCCAAGCCTGCCCCCGTCTGCACTGCCCCCATCTCAAAGCCAGGCACCAGGTGCTGGCAGCCAAGCCTGGCCCTTCTCCCCTGACCTCACCACTGTTCTGGCGAGGGACACCAGAGGAGGGACAGCAGCTTTTTAGAAGCTCACTGTCTGCTTCCCAGAGCCCAGGGAGAAGGGGGTGCATGTGTGCAGCATGTGGAGCAGGAGAGGACCCCCAGGGCTCTCCCAAGGGGTCCTCACTGCACCCCAAGAAAGTACCGTCTAGATGGAGAGGCAGTTGTGTCTCCTCCTGTCCCTACCCTTTTCCTGATCTTTCTCTGCACCAGGCCCAAAGCTGGGGGCTAGGGGTGGTAGTGGAAGAGTGGGGTCCCCCCTGTTCCCCCAGACCACCAGAGCTGGGACCGAAGTCCTTGGGGATGTTGCAGGGGTTGCTACTCATAGCCCTGTGCCTGGAAAGTGGAAAGATCAGGACCTGGGTCCACGCGTTGGAGCTTCCTGCTGTGGCCGGCCAAGGGGCCAGCACGTGGAGCCTGCACCCATGCGGTCCCCAGTGGCTTGGGACTGCTTCCACACACATGCATCAGGGAGTCCCCTGCCGGATCCTGGTCACCCTCACACACTCAGCTGGAAGCCTTCACCTTAGTCTACTGCTGTACTCGAGCTGAGTACCACAGACACAGTGACCCACAGGAGGAGCTTCCAGGGCTCCAGGGTTGGCTCTGGAGCTGCAAGCCCGAGCCCAGCACTGACATGTGCCCAGCATCTGGCCAGGGCTTCAGGCCACAGCGAGACCTGCCTGGGGTGTCAAGCAGCAGGTGCTAGCTTGGGTCCCTCTTCTTCCTATGAAACCCCTCACGGCAGCAACTGGTGGCCTCACCAACCCTCATGGCCTCCCAAGGCCCTGCCTCGAAATGCAGTTACACTGTAAGCTATGAACCTGGGCACTTTGTGTCTAACTGTAGCACCTCCACAGTCTGACTGACACATGGGAAAATAGGAGGGACCCGGCAGAGAGGACACGGCTGTCGCTGACCTGCTCACGTGTGGCCCATCCCTCCCCACCCACCTGCTCTCACCGTTGGACCTCTGCGGCCCTTGGGATGAATGAATGTGGCCAGCTCCCCCGCCGCCCCGGCTGAGACTCCAGACCCTGTTCAGTGGGGCAACAAACCATGAATCCACAGGACCCTCCCGAGGCACACGCATGACATCAAAGCACACTGGAGACCCCAGGACAGTGTATGTGACACTCCTTTATTAAAACCTAAGGACATCTTTATAAAAACTACGTATATAAAGACAAAAGCAGCGTTAACAGCGGTCAGTGTAAAACACGTCATTGTCACAGAGGAGGATATTAGTAGGAACAGTATTAGTTTTTTGGTTTTCCCGGTTACCAGCCATCTGTGACCCCTACCTCATCACATGAAACTGAGGTTTCCAGCACAGAGGGGCGACCCCACCCCCAGACCTGCACGCCCTCTTCCCGCTGGCCCTGGGGAGACCGTGACCTTTTGGGGGAGGTTTCCTGGCCTGTGGAGGTAACTGGGTGACGAAGCCCTCACCCTGGCCCCACGTGCTCACTGCACGTCACCCAGACACCCACTGGTTGGGGATGCGACTGTGACACAGGAAACAGGGGAGGAAAAGAAGCCACTGTGAGAAACCGAGGCACATCTAAGGAGAGACCCTCTTGGGCCATGAGCTGGGTGCTGCGGCGGCCATGGGACGGTGGCTCGGGGCCCAGGGTTCCGGGTCAGTGTGCTGCAGTAGGACCCTGCCCGCTCTGCAGGGCAGCTCAGGGTAATTCTGCAGGGACCCCAGAATCCTGTTCCATTCATGTGACAGCACTGTGAGTGGGGCCCGTCTGGCTGGCATCCCCAGAGCCCTGAATGTCAGTTTGTCAAGGGCAAAGGGGTCAGGGATCTGATTTAAAAAATAGGAGTTTGGGCTACAGAGTGACGAATGGTTAAATCTGTTCACTCACCAAGCGTCTGCCTAGCACCAGCTCAGTCTGGTTCCTGGACCAGAAATGGGTGGGGCCAGGGAGGGTGTCAAGGTCACTTTCACGGGTGGGATGGGCAAGGGCTCCTTATTCAGGTACAGGTGTGGTTTCTGGAAGGTACAGGACATGACCTCAGCTGGTGAGGTCATGTGGCCCTTGGACCGCTCAGGTAGCCCACGGGGGCCAGGCAGATGGGAGACCTAGCCCCCAGAGGTTCCTGCTGCTCTTCCAATCCCAGATTTTCACAGCAGATGGGGAGGGAGACAGTGTCACCATCCTGTCCCTGTGCCCAACCTGAACTGCCTCAGCAGAGACTCTTCACTCCACTCCCCAAGGGGCAGTGAGCTGAGCTGCAGAAGCCAGCTGGGAAAGATCACCAAGCCTGCTGTTCTGGGCACTGTTTCCTCTCGGGCCAGCCTCCAGCCAGCCCCATGAGGGGGATGCAGCCGGACAGGGACAGGGGACAGAGGGACACCAGAGTGAGGCCACACCACAGCCCCACTGTTTGGCGTGACCAGAGAGGACTTCTGATGGGGCCTAGAGCCAGGGCATCTCTTGGCTGAGGAAGACCACACCCGTTCCTGCCTCAGGGGTTTCCTGGTGCTGACTGGTGGGGGGACCCAGTGCTGTGTCCCCGCTGTCTCAGAAAGTGCCTTGGACCCAGGAGGGGCCAGGTCTGCCTGCCAGTCACAGGCGCGCGTGTGCGTGTGTGCGTGCACGTGTGCACACATGTATGCGCGTGCATGGGTGATCTTGTGCTAAGGCCCGCTGCACATGGGTGAGCCACTGCGTGTGAGCAGGCTCCTCTCTGGATGGGACCACAGCCCGGATGATGCTGAGACTCTGAGAGACACAGCGACGGAACCATGTGCACACAGGGACCGTGCCCCGCGCGGGGGAGGAGTCACAGACAGCGAGCTCAGGACCGACACGTGCAGCCCTCGGCAGCGGGCGCACTGATGTCTTCTTGCCCTGCTTTCTTCGGGATTTTTATGCTTATCACTGCTGATGATAAGTGACAGGTGGGGGGCCAGGAGCAGACAGGAGAGGGGAAGAGCAGGAGGCTTGAAAATTCAGGCCCGGACACTGCCCAGAGTCTCCCCTGGAGCGCGGCTGTGCCCTGTGTTGGACTCTCACGGACCCGCTACTGACTGGCTTGTCCCCAGGACTTTTCTGGTCCTGGGAGCTCTGAGGAGCTACAAGTGGCAGGGGATCCCAGGAGGCTGAGGGAGGTCGGGCCACCGGCCAAGGCACCCACAGGGAAGCAGCTGGGCTGGAGCCGAGGTCCCCTCCAAGGCCCTTGGACCATCAGCTCCAGAGGGGACTTTCAAGACCTCTGGTGGCCAGGGACTCCCTCGCAGAAGGTCACAAATCCAGACGGATGCCAATCAGCAGGGTCAGCCCTGTGTAGTGACAGTAGGCTCTCAGCTCCCATCCCTGTGCCCAAGGGGCAGGGGACAGGTCAACAGCCCATGCTTGACAGGGGAAGCATCGCTGTGTGCACCATCCAGGTACATAGGAAGCCAGCAGCCTCTAGGCACCTGGGCTGACTCCTGTCACTAATGGGGAAACTGAGGTGACAAGAGCACAGGCATGGCCTGAGGTCACACCGCTCTTAGCAGCAGAGCTGATGCCAGGATCCGGACCTTCAGCACCCCAGTCCCAGCCCAGGCTTGCTCCGACTCCCGTGGTTCCCACAGGGGTGTGGGCTAATCCAGCTGGGCTGTCCTGGGACATTGCTGACCCACAGGGATGCAGCCCTGGAGCATGTCCTAGAGTGCTCTGCACTGAGGGGAAAGGACATCATGCCCCTCCTTGCCCCAGACCCCAAGCAAAGCCACACTGTGTGCACCAGACCACCTGAGTGCCACAGGGCTGGCTCGTGGGTGGCCAGAAAGGGTCCTCAGCAAGGCTCCCGACAGCTGTCCTTGTCCTCAACAAATGTCTCGTCACCATCTTCCTGCCCCGCCAGCAGCGCTGATGGCTGATCTGTGTGGGTATGCTGGGGATGGCCCTGTCACTACACAGGCCAGGAGGGACACCGAACTAAGAGCTGGGATTCCAGTCTGCTAACACGGGGACAATGAGCACATCTACACAGGCAGTGTGGCCTGGGGGACCCCTGTGATCCTCCCGTGTGCATCCTGTGAGGGTGGATGTTACAGGCAGCGAGATCCATGTGGAAGCCCTGCGCTACAGAGGGTGGAATTCTAGAACCTTCAGCTTGGGTACCCAGCAGCCTTGCCACCCTGTCTATAAAGATCCCATTTGTTTCTCCCACCAGCTGGCAGGACCTCCCGTCCCTGTCACTGCCTGGAACATGGTGCTACTGAGCCAGCATGTGTGGGTGGACAGACCCTGGAGCAGTGCTAGGAATCTGGGTGACAGCTCCCTGCTGGGCAGGTTCTGGAGATGCCCAGGTATAGCAGGGAGCTCCTGGGCCGCAGAAACACTTCTACGCAGGTCTCTGTGGGCTGGACTTTCAGTACTGCACTTCTGAAATCAAACTCAGGCTGGCCTCCAAGCCCGAGGTCCCTGAAGCCAACCCAAGGCTGGGCCCTCCTGGCCACAGGACAGGGCATTTGTCTCCACTGTGAGCTGCTTCCGAAGCGCTCAGTCACGTCCGCCCCCCAGGGGCTGTGACAGTATATGTGAAAGCACCTAACCTGGTGGCTGCCCTGTGGCTGTCCATGACTCATCTTTTACTCTTGCTGTCACAGGAACAAGTTCTACAAGAAACAACCCTTTCTGCTGTTCCAGTGCCTCCCCTAGAGCTACCTGAGCCACAGCAAGGCTGTACCTTGGGCCCTGTGCCCGGCCATTCCCATCCGGCTTGGGGCTGCTGGCTGCAACAAGAAAGGACACTGGCAGCAGCCCCCAGCCACACGGGGACCTGTGCCACAGGAGCACTCCCAGGGGAACGCCAGTAAAAACCAACAAACAAAGGACAGCCCAAATCACACACGCACACGCGCTCACACTCAGTCCTTGGGCAGAGAGGCCCGAGGGGCACTGTTGGAAGGAGAGGGGCAGGGGAAGCTTCGGGGTGTAGACCATGGGTAGGCCTCAAGGTCTAGGCCCCGTCATCCGAGCCCACGAGTCACCTCTCAGCAGCCACCAGCCCCAAAGAGAACTATTGCTTGCAGACAGGAGGCTCAGAACCTCCTGGCATCCCCGGTCCCCACCCCTGAGTTTACTCTGAATCTTAGAAGTCCACGGAAGAGGGTTCTGGGCACAGGTGGCGTTTGCTCTGCTGTCACCGCTGCGATCGCCGCCACCTCGGCTCTGCCTGGTGTCTCTGCTGAGGTCGTCCTTGGAGGCTGCGCCGAGTCCTTCCCATCCTGCCTCTCCCATCCTGAGGCACAGCAAAGGGGTTTTCTGGGGAAGCAGAAGGGAACAAAACGTCACCCAGTGTCTCCTCGAAGGGACCTTGTCGAGGACCCTCTCCAGGGCCTCACCGCCAGGAGGTGCCAGGCGTTCTGTGAACACAAGTCTGCAGTCTCTCTGGTTCTGAAGAGCAACAGAGTCCCCAGCTCAAACAATTAGGCAAAAAGTAAAAGCAGAGTCAAGGCTGGAACGGACCAAGCCACATCACAATTAGGTGCAATAACCTACACAGAAAATCTAACGGAATCAACAGGTTAGAACAGAGAGCACAGGACAAAGGCACAGGGGTGTCTTGGTCCAAGAACAGTACTGGCCACATCCTCGATCGCAAACTGAACTGGACAAGAACATCTTCCCAGGAGGCCAGCACTGAACTCAGTGATTGAATTGAATTTGATTTAGTTCTCAGCCAATTTGGTTTGTGACCAGCGTTGAGGACAGAATCAGGCTCGTGAACCAAGGTATCACTGTAATTTCTGATCTGTAGGACAGCTGATCAATTTATAAAACTCAGTGGTGTCCATCTGCCCAAGCTCCACTGCGTGATTCAGGACAGTCCCAGCTAACGCCCGTTGCTTGACACAATTTCTCCCCTTTCTCCCTCAAGAGTATTTGGATTTGAATGATAAATTGTATGGTCATCTTTGTCATAACAAGCTAAAGACTGTTGACAAGAGGTACAGATGTCATCTGTGGATATTAAAATCCATTCCATATCTTGGAATCATACCACCATCCAGAAGCAAGGTGAATGGGACCAGAGAGATGGCTCAGTAGAATAAGCGCTTGCCTGGCAAGCTCAAGGGCCTGAGTTCAATCCCCAGTTCCAATCATTTCTCAGAGGCAAGGTGAAGACACCTGTGTGCACCTGAACGGCAGTGAGCAGGGCTTAGACGACAATGACAGGCCCATGGGAATCCTTACAGCTTTGACTGGCAGAGGCAAGTTGCAAACAAGACAGTGAGGAACAGAATCACAAACCCCATTTGTGTAGGCACCATAAATCCCCGAGCTCATACCCAGGACAGGCAACTGCCCAGCCATAAACACTAACCTTCCCATATTCCTTTGCAGACAAGGGTGGTCACATGACCCAGCACAACCCATGGTGTGGAAGTAGAAGGGCACTGGGCTGGAAAGGTGGTCACATGACCCACTGCAGCCAATAGTATGAAAGTGGAAATTTACAGGGCTACAAGGGTGGTCACATGACCCAGTACAGCCAATGCCTTTGAACTGGACATCTCCTGGGCTAAAAGAAGGCCAAGGTCATTGTTGGTTTTGATATATTGACTGGGACTAGAAAACAACTGGTGGGGCGGGGAAGATGACTCAGTGGAATAAGCTTCCCTGGCAAGTGTAAGGGCCTGAGTTCAATCCCTGGTTTCACCAAAAAAAAAAA